TTGCTTATTTTTTTCTTTGACAAAAACCACCCCAGCTAAAACAAGAACCTCCCACTTAAAAATCTTAGTAACCCCTCACCTTTTATTCTAAGGAACGACATTAAAAAACTATTATAGCAAAAATCACTAAAACTCCCCAGGTTAATGGAGTTTTTAATAAGTTAATGGGCATTTTGGTCTTTTTAAATCATGTGAGTCACATGTGCCACGTCGGATGTAACAGTGTTAAGTTTGGGGTTTTCTGTTAAATTTATTAGGGGTTTACTGTGATTTTGGAAGTCTATGGGGTTTAGTGCAAAACGTTGAAAGTCCATGGGCGTCTACTATTATTTACCCTAAAATCATCTATGAAAGGAATAAAATCATATACTCGATAAGTTATATTTAAAGTTGGTGATTTGTTGAACATATATATATTCAGCATTTTGTTTATACTAAATTTTTTAATAAATGTACTGCTTTTTATTTAAACTAATTTTTACTATTTGAATCAATTTTAAATTGACAGTGAATGTATTAAAATTCTTTTTCCTCCCTATGATTCTATAAAATAATGACATATACACAGGACTACATCCTATGTACATAAAAAAGAATTAAAATTTTATAAAGAGTTTTTAAAAAAATTTATTAATATACACTATTTTAAAAAACCTCCGTTTAGTCCGTCTAGGCGTACGCCTAGACATAAGCGGTACCTAGGCCGCCTAGCTAGCACCTACCTAACGCCTAGGCAATACCTAGGCTACCTAACTAAGTTTGGCAGTGTTTATGAGAGCACTGTCTACTAATATAGACTGCACTCTTTAGGCCTTAATTGTGATATTCTGTGTTGCAGCCTCCACGCCCTCCAACCTCCTTCAAACTTTTTTAATCTCCAAATATAAACACCTCCACTATCTCCTCCGACCTTAAGCAAAACCTCCTCGATCACCACTTAAATGAAGAAAGAAATCCTCCTACACACCAATCTGACACCTACGCTTTCTATAATATTGACATTTACTATCAATTATTGTAATCATAAAATAGAAAAGAAAATCTCCTAGGCTCTAGGCGACGAGTTCAACGCCTAAGCCTCCTAACGCTTTCTATAACATTGTTAGTTACTATTTTGGCTATTTAGTATTTAAATATGCATGGTTTATTGGGGATTTAAGATTGCTATCTTTTTTTTTTGTAAATTTATATGAATCTAATACATACTTTTATCAATTATTATAATTAAATACTTTTAAGAATAGCCAAACACCTAGGCATCGAAGGCGCTAGGCGCTGGCTCAAACGCCTAGTTTGTCTCGCGCCTTCTGTAACATTGTTAATATAAATCATTATATAATATAAGTAATTGTATTTTCTACCTCATATTTAAGTACAGAAGATGGGGAGAAAAACATATTTTTATCATTTTACTACAAATTTCATTTTCCAGTTTCTTCCTATCTAAACATCAAAATGAATCTTCTTTCTCTTTCTCTCTCTTTCTTTTCCTTTCTTTTCCTTTCTTTTTCCTTTTCCTTTCAATTCTTTCCTTATTTTTCACCCAAACCAAACACAATCTTCTTTCTTTTTCACTTTCTTTTCCTTTCTTTTTTTTTTCCTTTTCCTTTTATCTGCTTTTCCTTCCTTTTCACACAAACCACACACAGCCTAAATCCCTTCCCTAATGCAACCTTAACACCATGTTGGATAAGTAATCGACCTTGAAAAATTAAATCCCATTCCTAATGCAACCATAACACCAGATAACTAATTGACTTAAAATTATGCATATGTTAAGCATCATAGTTTCCTTTTAAATCAAATGAAGGCAACCGATGTGTAAGCTTGTCTATTCAGCAAGTTTAAATATTCATTCAAACTTGGTGCATATAGATGATCAAACAAGCCAGAACCAATCTCGTCTTAAACCTCGAGCTTTCTGTGCACATTGGCAACCTAAATGGAGCGCACTGTTAAGAAGTCCAGTATTTATCTAGAGAAAAACATTCATTAAGAGGTATTTATCTATAATGGGTGAACTTATGCTACATTGTTCCATGATACAACCCAAATTTACACCACATTTGACCATGAAGATACATAAGTTTACACTATCTGATATTAAAATTAGTCTGCTGGAAGGTTTCCAAGTTTAACATGCATGAAGTATGTTTTGAGTTACCTGAAGCCCGACTAAGATGCAATCGCCTACGACCAAAAGGATGTTCAAAAAGCGATATCTCTTCGATACCTTGCTTCTGCGCCTGTCATATGCCTTTGAGACAGTCCTCGGGCTTGTTGTCAGCAATTTAGAGTGGCAGACGCTGCATTCTATCATCCCATTCTTAGACATCTCTATTTGTAATTAAAATTCTGAAAGTTTGCGAAATGGAGGTTTTAGCAAAAATAACAATCAATGCCAATGAAAAATCATATTGAACAATTAAATAAAGTTAGTATCGAAATCACATTGCACGTAGAATTGCTCAAAAAGAAATAACTGTCGACCTAAATATGCACTCTTGGTCAATGACAACGAACCGCATAGTAAAATTTAACTTTCCCATCAATTCCTCACCAAAAATATTCATTCACAACAACAAAAAGAAATGGCAGATTGATTCTCTTCATCGAAACTAAGTAACAAATTCACCACTAATCCAAGGAAGAAAACAGATAATGGAATGAAAAGAGAGCTCGAAGCTGACCTAAACTTGATCAGATCTAGATCGTAAATCTCGAGCGAAAACGAGAATAAATCCGATCGCTCGTTCAAAATTACCGCATTCACCTACAAAAGAGATCCTCACTAATGAAATTAGATGAAGAGTCGAAGAATCGAAAGAGAATTTTTGAGATCCAGATGCACAAAACAAAAAAAGGATATAGAAATGGGAAATTTATAAAATAAAAATATATAACGTGTCTTTTTCGCTTAAATGTTACATTATAAAAATGAGTCTTTTCTTCTTCGCATGCGCATTGCGCACTCTTTTTCTTTTCTGTAATTGGGTGGGAGTGTAATTCAACGAGGCGGAAGAGGGTGAGGACGGAATTGTGCCGACTAATGTGGGTACCGGTTAATTAGAGTGCGTCGCCGGTTTACTAAGTAGATCATAATTCATATCATATCATATACTAGTGTGCAGCCCGTGCGCAGCACGGTGTTTTTTTTTTTTTGCTACAGTGTTCCCGCCTTTTTTAAACTCGCCCTGTTTGAATTTTCTGGGGTGCTACAGTAACTCGCCTGCTACAGTGCAATCCCCGAGCTGCTACAGTAACTGATCTGCTTCATTGGCTTTTAAATTTCTCAGCTGCTACAGTAAATATACTGTAGCATTTACTGTAGCATGAACAGTGACTCTTTGTTTCTCCCATTTGTATAAAAGAATATATATATATATATATATATATATATATATATATATATATATATA